TGGTGGTCTGTGAGGACTAAATTAAATCTTTAAATTCTATTGAATGTAAAAATTGCAAATGTAAGCTCTTGTCTAATTAAAAGGTTGTATGGATCTAAAGGCTGTCACTGAAGTTCATTATTATTTACTCAGTAAATCGTTAATGAAACTTAACTTACCCTCAAATCCGTGCTAAAATAAACTGGGAAACCAAAGGGCGTAGTATTACAAGTTGATACTATGGGAGTATAAATTAATTCTGCCTGAGGCGTTCTCCCACTTAAATAGTAGAGTGGTTTATATCCTCTGAATTAGGTCGGGATAAAAACATGAGCAAAGAAAGAAGAGGGTTGAGAATATGCTGGTACATCAAAATAAGGCCTTTCAACACAAGTCACGTGATTCCTTTCGAAAAATTTCGTTATGTGTTTAGTGTCTAAATCTTCTAGTATACATATAATTTCAATCATATAATAATATTTTCACTAACTTTTAAATCGCAATTTAACGGATAATTAAGAAAATTATTACAGTTTTACAATTTATTTGAATTCAACTAATCCTTAATATTCGTGTCAGTTATTGCTACATTTCAAAAATCGGCATCAGAAAGAATTTGGTAAAATTTTAGGCAAATTAGCAAATCCGTGCTAAAATAAACTGGGAAACCAAAGGGCGTAGTATTACAAGTTGATACTATGGGAGTATAAATTAATTCTGCCTGAGGCGTTCTCCCACTTAAATAGTAGAGTGGTTTATATCCTCTGAATTGGGTCGGGGGGGGGGGGAGCAAAGAAAGAAGAGGGTTGAGAATATGCTGGTACATCAAATAAGGCCTTTCAACACAAGTCACATGATTCCTTTCGAAAATTTTCGTTATGTGTTTAGTGTCTAAATCTTCTAGTATACATATAATTTCAATCAATAAATATTTCACTAACTTTTAAATCGCAATTAACGGATAATTAAGAAAATTATTACAGTTTTACAATTTATTTGAATTCAACTAATCCTTAATATTCGTGTCAGTTATTGCTACATTTCAACAATCGGCATCAGAAAGAATTTGGTAAAATTTTAGGCAATCTCCGTATTGGCGCTGCGGATGATAGGAAAAGATTTTTTAGAGAAATATTTTTGCCGTTGGAAACGTATAGCGTTCTACAATAAGGACATTCATATTCTGGTCTCATTTTCCAAACACTGGCGTCAAATGCGAACTGCTCGATGAAAACGCGCTGATAATTCGACTTTATCCTTTACCGATTATTATAAACGGTGTTGATGCTACTCGCTAGTCAATGCTAAGGCAAAGGACTGGCATTTTAAAGCCTTCTGATCATTCCTATTATTTTCTTACAGTTATGATTGGCAAAACTGCATTTTAGGGCTTGCTATACGAGCTTGAATGATAAGAATCTGTTTTTTACACACTTTGTGTCATGATATTCTATTGTCCTCTTAGTCAACCAATATGATCGCGTTGCTTTATTTATCACGATTCGTTCACGCAAATATCATTCGACAGCCAGTTAGTTCAAGCTCATATACTCCACTGTGAATCAGCAATAATATTTCCATTTATTCCAACCCAGAATTAAAAGATCTGTCGCGAAACAGAGGTTATGCTATTCTTGCATTCCGGAGGAATGCTCGTAATCACAATCCCCTCTCACACTATCCTCGATTTCAAGATTTGTTCTTGATATACCCTCACTGCCATGCATTTTACATGCAATGCGTATTGAGCACTTATTTTTTTATTCTTCATTGTTTTAATCATTGTCACAGTTTTTTGTTCTGAAATTTTTCCATGCATTTTTTCTTTCAGATCGACTTATGCATAGATACAGCTATTTAATTATGTCTAATACATCTAAGAGGCATTTAATCATGCCGTTTGTGACAGCAGTTGGGAAAATTCGACGAAGTTTTGTTGGCATACAGCTGCATGGACGTAAATTCAAAGAACCAGAATATAATTGCGAATTTATAGTACATTTCTGTAGAAATGGCATTCGGTTATGATTCGATTGGAATTAACATTTCTGTTGAATAAGTACATGTATACATCTGGGTTATTTTTCAGTAAATAAATGTTTTCGTCTCACACACGTTTTATTTGGTTTCCCTAGAAATGAAGCAGAATTTTATCCAAATTCTTTTAATGCTGAAGTACATGAAATTTCTTACAGGTAGTACATACAACGTTTGTCATTACAATGTCTTGATTTCCGTAATAATTTTTTTTTTTATTTTACGGATACTTTTTTGTACGTTACGGGACAACTATCTACATTTTCTAAACTTAAGGTGTGGAATATTCGAATTTTCAAAATTCACGAATTACTAAAAAGATTAGAGCCTTTCTTCATTGGATTGTTTCCAGACTAAACCAAGAAATTCATTAAACATTTTAATATAAAGTTTGGAAAGATTATTGTTCAATAGAAGCATTCATTTAACAAAGTCTGCAATTTTGCAATATCGAGGAAGCTGCGGCATCACCAGTGTCATGTTGTGGCGATCCTTAGCCCCGCATTACTAATTTATTGGAAAGACTTTAGCTTTGCATATTAATGTTTGATTATCGACGAATTTCGAAGTGTTTCATATATATATATGTATATATATAGTATATATATTGAGAAAATAAATTATTAGATTCAGAAACTCTAGTTAAGTACTTGAATTACTAAAATTCATTTTTTTCCTCTAAAATATGGAATGTATTCCTAAATGCACCTTTTATTAAACGCCAGCTTCGAATTCCAGTTTAAAACTTTTAATATTAAGCAATTGTTTTCTTCTTTTTCTTTATTGTCATGTTAAGAATTAAGAACCTTTGAAAATACAGATTTTTGATTCGACAAAATGTATGGTTCATCGTATCTGTGATTAAGTCCTTAACATCAGTCGTGGTTATTTTAATTACCTCTTTATTTTAGGTGCAGTATATTACTGAAACAAAACGTGGTGATGAATTGTAGAAAAAAACACTCGCACTCATTGGATTAAATGTTAGTGATTGCAGTGCACGTAATTCTGGAAGAATCCGGTCTTTGAAAAGAAAACTTCAATTTAGAGCCTAGATATAAAAAGATGATGAGCTTTATTTTCAAAGTATGCTATTGTCCACTTACAATGTAGGTTCTTAAAAACAGTGTGTTAAAAATAATACCTCGAAGAAATACTACAGTTTTAACCATGCAAATTTCTCAACTCTCTCATTTGAAATATTTTGTTGCCACTCTCATGCAAGATCCCGTGAAAGAAATTTACAGTTACCTTTTGAATAGTTCAACTGTTTTATTTATTAAGTGCAAAAGTTCCCACGGGACGTAAATTTCTATTCTAACGAAATAATATCAATTAAATTTTTTTTTTCTTTTGCAGTTTGACAGTTTTGTTTTTAAGAGCTTGATTCCCATATTTGCTTTTATATTCCGTATATTTAACTTAAAAGCATTGCAGTGTGAACCTCTTCGTCGTCCGTAACGCTTCTAACGCGTTCAAGTGAAACTTCTGCAAGGCGGCCGTAACACGCTTCAAGCGTTCTACTACATTTTAAAACTTTTAAACGTTTAAAACACTTTCTAAATGTTTACTTGTTCGAGTTTTTATTTTTGTTTGTTCTAAAACCTCCTAAAAGGCAGTACTAATCAGGCATTCTATTTCTAATTGAATTTCCCCTCGGCTTTCATAAATATTCGCGCCATTTTACATAAGATACAAGGCAGTGAGAGATCTTCAACGTCTACTCAGCAGAAAAAGAGAAAAAATGAGGTTGTGAATTGAAAAGACGAGAAGGATATACATTTGATGATTACAGTCCATAATAACTCTATGATTAATGTTGAAACACGGAAAAGAACTGTAAAAAAACCAATAATTAAAAACGATTACAACAACACAATGGGAGGAGTGGACCACCTGGATCAGATGTTATCAAATCGCTCCTGCTGTTAGAAATAAGCAGAGATATTATTACTTTTCCATTATGCTATATTTCCTTCTAATTTTACTTAATATTCATTTACATTCTTCCACTACGAAAGTTATGTATGTACCAAACAAAACAACATTACACGCTGCGAAAAACAAAGGGCCGCTGGGGAGAAATTTTCGCGGACAGAGAGGACGACGAAAGGGTTAAACTAGAATCTGAATACAAAAACTACAGTGCTGTTGTTAAATTTGCAAAACGTATTATGTAAACAAAAGAAATAATTCATGTGATAGGAATTATACTGAAACTAATAACAGAAGATAGTGAGATTTTAAAATGCTTGATATATGAATTTTTGCCTACTGAATAATTTTAATATTAACCCCAATCATAAAATAATATATGATGAGGAAACAGTCGAGAATTCCATGTTGGATTAATCTACATGATGCATCCTTCTAATATATGTATATATTGTATAAATTGGTATTGAAAAACTTGTAATATCGTAAGATAAACCGTTTCCGTTTTCGCATGTTTGAGGCATTTTACAACTTGTTTACTTTTAATTATGGCATAACTCTTCGAATAATGAGAATTAATTATAGAAAAAGAGTCGGGTACTCACATACTAAGCTTGTTTTGCATAAATTATAAGAGAAGATTCAACAAGATTTTGTTACAGGTTTCTTGCCCCAAATCAATACACATGTTATTAATCTGCAGTTCGAGCCCGATGTCACATACCGAAATATATCTGCTATTATTCCATAGTATAAATAGGTATAGATAAAAGTTACACAAATTCTAGTTTCGTAATAAATAAGTACGAAATTTAAGTTTGAGTTTATTGCTGCTGTTTTAATCTAAAACTTGAAGTCTTAACAAACAAAAAACAAAAAAAAAAAAAAAAAAAAATATTTGCTTTGAGTAATGAATATACATATATATGTTTCAAATAATCTTAAATGTAATTAAACTATCTAGCTGTAATTAATGTATGGTAATATTTTCAAAACACGGAAATCATAGTATGAAAACCGATTCATGAAATTAGGTTTTAGACGAGACATAACAAAGCTAGCTACTTTATTCGGAAACAAAATTTGACTGTTGTAAGTTTGTAGCTTTACTCAGCCTCAGGTGTCCCAAATGGTTCGAGAGTTGTGTCCAAATCTTCTTCATCTGGTTTCAGACATTTGGGTCTGAGCCTTATTGTGTGCTGAAAATTAAAAGTTCAAAAATATAAATTCATTTGTTACGATAAATGAAAAATTTTGTTACATACTAGAAAAAAAGAAATTATTATTTTTAAATACTGAGGGATGTATAATATTACAATGTACTTTCTCTCTTCTTTCTGCATGCCTTCGTGGTGTAATTCGAAGCATACTCGACGCGCATTCAAGAGGTCCAGGTTTCGAGTCCCGGTGAAGGCATTGCACATTTTTCCCGTCTCCTGCTTAGTTCCTTAAGTCTTCAAACTATCAATTAAATTTCCATCTGAGGAAAGTAAATTATACATAGTTCAGTAAATTTACCGCTGTACGAATTCTGTGATTTCGCGATTCTAAGGTTTTCTAAGATTTCGGGAATGTCAGATTTTCTGTGAATGTCAAATTAATCCGTAAGTTTTGTATTTTTACCTATTAATTTTTAATGTCTGTTAAAACTGTGAAATTGTTTTTACATGATAATAATTTTATAATACTTAGAATTTTCGAAAAGTACACAGAAAAGTAATTATATTCCAAAATCCAAACTAGATGTTTAAGCTATGGATTAGCTCAAGCTTTGAAGAACTTTTGTAATACAAAGAAAAGTCGTTTCCCAAAGTCACGCGAAACTGCTTTCGTTGCATAGGAGTATCGACGAACAGTTTCGATAACACCAAATGATCCTTTCACTTCCATCTACGAAGTAAAGGAAATATTGTAATCCAGAAAAATTCCGGGTTTTATATTTCAAAGAAAATATCCATTTTGACCGCTCTCGAATCCATTTGAACCTTTTGTTTTTGCATGACATCCGTACGTACGAACAGAATAAAGAACTCTTCTCTTCAAAACGGACTGTAAAATGAATTTAAAATGGCTTCAGAAAGGATTTTTCATGACGTCTCCTTGTATCTTCCATATCTGCCGTAGAACTTGAAAATATCGTATATGAGACTGTTATAGAATCTACGTATGCACTTTTTTTACTGCAATCGGTTTCCGACTGAATAAGTTGTTTTTATGTCGGTGAAGATTTTTATGCTTTTAGTTAATCTGCATGCAATAGCATTAGAATTATGAACAATTTAAAAATTTAGGTGTCGCTAGGCCTAATGTGGCGACTATTTATGCACATTTAAAGTTTTTAGTACTATAGTGCATCAAGTCAGTTGGTGCACCAACTTCAGTGTCGTTTTGCCCAGGGAGCAGAGGTTAACTTTAAATGCTTGTGTACCAAAACTTTTGTCTTTCTATCCGTTGGCTGAATTGCTTCTTTTGCGTAGAAACCCTAATTTAATTTCCAAAATTGTTTAGTTTAGCTCTATTCGTGTTTTTTTTTTTTTTTTTTTTTTATATGATGATGTTTTGTGTTTTAATATATTTTTGCCCTGCCGTGGAGTGAGGACTGAATTGATTAAATATTAAATATATCTCTAATGAAATTCGAAGAAATAACTTTAAATGAAGTGCAACAATAAACGTGTTTAATTTATTAAGCCGGACAAGGAAGCCGTGGTGTCAACATCAGATTTTTTAACGTTTTAAAAGTATTACCATTTTTGTACGTACTGTAATGTATAAAAACACCGTCTAATTAACTACCAGTCTTGATCTAGAAAAGCAGTGTTAAATACGCTTCCGGAATTTGATATCTTCACATATAACTTCAATTAAAAATATAATCTTTATTTATTTCCATGCTAATTATTTTTGCTCTTGCTTCGTTTCTCGTATAAATTTCTTCCTTCTAAGTGCTGGTATAAATCCTATACCACGAAATATTTCATTAAATTGTTAGCGTAAATCCATACCGCAAATCGACGCGAATTTTCACTATTTACATATGCGTATATGTATAGCGTATTTTGCAGTATATATACGCATATGTAAACATATATATTGCGTATTTTGCAGTTTTTGAAACTGCTGCTCTGTTTATATCTCTTGAAAACATGTTATCAGATAATATCAGCGGCACGTGGGTATTATGTCAAAGTAAAGGATATTTTTCCTACGATATATACGCTGCTGAAATTTTAGTGTCTTATCTTCTCGTTTTAATATGCATTCCTGCTCAATATAAGTTGAGATAGTGTTGTACTTGTGTGTTACCGTTTTATGGAAGTGTGAGAACACAGAAGTCTCACAGTGTACATTGTGGCTGCATCGATTCTTGTATCGTTATCACGCGCGAGCACGTGTGTCGAAAGGTATAAAAACTGGAAGGACTGGTTTGTCTCTTTTTCCTCTTTCCCCTATTGCTGCCTGACGTCGAGTTTAGCGAGTGTGTGGGCCTTCGGGCCACACACACTCAGCAGTCGCCATTTGTTCCTGTCTAATTTTGCCTGAATCGTCGATTTTTGCAGAGAAAGAAGCAGAATGAAGAAATCCAGTACTTAAAGTAGAAGTTTGATTTGAGACTCACTAAGTCCTGCTGACGTGAATAACATAAAATAAACGCGCAAGCAGAATATAAGTAACTGTTCGACTTCAAGATGTGCTTGACCAGCAATGTGTCACCACGTGATGATAAGTGTGTAAAAATAATATGAATGTAAAAAAAAAGAAGAGCTTATAAGTGTGTAACCAGACAGCGCGATAATACGAAGATGAATTGACCAAGTTTTCAACCGCAAAATTATTCGATGGGACAGGATTGCGCGAATAGTCACGCGTTCGGCACTCCACGGACATTCCATTTGAGTTATCGCATTGCGTGTATCTAAGTTATGATATTTTAGTATTTATATGTGTGTGACAAATGTGTCTTATTTAATCCAGAAAGTATGTGTATTAAAATAAATATGAGATTGGAAAAAGAAAATATTCGGCTCATGCATGCATCAGTGGGTAAGTCTTGTTAATCTATTTAGTAATGATTATGCAATGTACTAAACACCAAATTTTAGTTTAAGTATTTACGCAAAATTAATTTGTACTTGATATTCTTAGTATCGACACTTTTGGCGATCACGCCCGTAACACCACATTTATGGTGCCGTGACAAAAAAAAAAAAAAATGGGAAATTAAGTTTTAACTGTTTCATTTCAGGTCGAGAACCATTTTATGCTTATGCCTAAAAATATAACTACACATGTGATTCCAGTTTGATAATTGCTTAATATTTTTGAATTTTGTGATGATGTCTGATATCAAATAGGTGAATATTAGTAATGATTGGATAAAAATTTTGTGTTTATCTGATATGAATCATTAAGAAAAAGTTGAAAATTGCATATGTAAAAAAAATATATATATAGAATTCCATATGACTGTTTCCTGCTAATGTGAAATAATTTAATGATAAAAAATAGATATGTGAAAATGGTAATATCAATTCAAAATTGGTCAGTATTTAGGAAATTATTCCTGAATGTATATCATATTGTGTGGTAATGAGTATGTAATAACTTGTATCCATGTGAAAAATTTCGATAAGTTACAATAGTGTATTTATGAATGTACTATACATTAGAAGTAATAATAATAGTAATTTAGAGTGGTACTAAAGTATAGTAAATTGATTCAGAATGGCTAAGAAAAATAATGTAATGAATATGAGTCTGGCTACTGCTCTGCCTACTTTTTCAGGGGAGCATGACGAAAATATAACGTTTTTTTTTAGATCAGTTATGCCAAATGGCAAATTTAGAGAACTGGAATGAGAACAGAAAAAGTTTGGTGTTAAAAATTCAATTGAGGGGTAAAGCATTAAAATTTGTAATTGATAATGAATCGTGTAAAGATATGTCATTTGATGATATGAAACAAGCATTACTAAGTAAAAAATTTGCAAAATCTCAGTCATTTGACACAATTCAAAATAACTTTAACTCAATTAGACAGACCCCAGATCAGTCAGTCGAGGACTTAGCGGAAAAAGTGAATACTTATGCCACAAAATATTTTGGGTGCTATCCTAGTTCGAGTGAAGAGGTACATAACCTCACTCAAAAAGCAATGCTTTCAAAATTCTTAGAAGCTCTCAGACCAGATTTAAGACTGGAGGTTAAAAAACTAGGACCTATTGATTTTGCTACTGCTACTGCTGTTAAACAGGCAAAGAACATAGAAAAAGCATTGGAGGATTCTGGTAATAGCTCACAGACACATGATTTTTCACCTGAATTAAATACATTAATTATGCAACAAATGCAAAATAATAGAGCCATTGAGGATTTGTCAAAAAAATTCAATGAAATTTTACCTAATGGTAGTGTAAACAATGTAACTAGCCTAGAAAATAATGCTACACAAAGTAGTAGTAATAGAGAGTCTTGTCATATTTGCCAACAGAATCATTGGACTACAGAGTGTCCTTATTTTCCTTCAAACAATAATTTTCAATATTATAGACAGGCTAGAAACAACCACAGAAGAAATTTTTTATAGGGGTAACTTTATCAATAGAAGGAATAGATATAATAGTCGGTATGCTTTCACGCAAGGTAATAGACTACAGAACAGTAATAGAAATAGGCCACAATACAGAAGATACAATACTCGTACAAATAATTTAAACTAATGAAGGGTACTTGCAGATCTCCCAGATACACAAAGTATTACTCAAGTGCCCATAAAAAATTTGGGGGGAACAAGACAAAATTAAGAAAATAAGGAACTCAAATAGGCCGAATACACATGAAAGATTCCGACACAAAATTAAAGAAAGTAATGAACAAAAATTGGTAGCTTCTTGCCAGACTAATAGTATCACAGAATTACCAGTAATAGAAATCAAATTTGGCGACTTTGTGGTAGAAGCATTACTTGATACAGGTGCAAATTTAAGCTTAATACAGCCAGACACCTTGCAAGTAATAAAAAATTACACAAAGATTCATTACTTAAGCAGATCTGTAAGAATACATACGCTAAATAATGCTACTATCCCATATTTATCTGCTGTAAACTTAAAATTTCGTTTAGGAAATAAATGGCTTGCCAACCAATTTTTTGTTACACAACATAATTGGAACACAAATTATCAAATGATTTTAGGGT